TTACGGGTAAGCTGCTAACTCGCGAACCAGAAAAGCTAGGGAGCTGAAATTTTATGGGAATGTTCCATGTCCAAGTAGGTACTAATGAGCTCAAATCCAGCCCCCGGGTAAGCGTGGTACCCGCGTACGGACCCCCCAAAATTTCTCCCGCGTAAATTCATAACTCGGGGTACTAAGATGCTAGAAAGCTGAAATTTTAGGGGAATTTTCTCCGCCCAAGCAGGTGCTAATGAGCTCAAATCCAGCCCCCGGGCAAGCGTGGTACCCGCACACGAGCCCCACAAAGTTTTTCACGCGTATATTCATAACTCGGGGTTCTGAGAAGCTAAAGAGCTGAAATCTTAGGGGGTGTTCCCTGTCTAAATGGGTATTAACGAGTTCAAACCCTGCCCGCGAGTAAGCGTAGTATCTATGTACAGGCCCGTGAAAAGTTCCGGGTAAGTTACTTTCTCGAGGACGTGAGGAGTTGGAAGACTGGAACTTTGAGGGGTTGTTTCCTGACAGTTCTGACGGCCAGTCTGAAATCCTTTCAGCTAGAAGCATCTGCCGAAAAAACCGATACCGGTAGCAACAAAAACTGCGGGGAACTATGCTAAAAACGCATCTTCGCACAGGCAGCCCATGCGCATCTTCGCACAGGCAGTTATTTATGTATGTCATGATTCATCTCTCTCTCTCTCTCTCTTTCTAGGTGTATGATAATTCTGTGTGTTATGCCGGCTCTCGACGAATAAAATTATTTTACAAACTTTCTGGTGAGGCGGGGCGAGAGAGGGGAGGGGGATGCTCGTGCCACATATTGTGTCAGCTGCATCACATCATGTAATAAATTGCAACGCGCACCAGAGTAGTCGGTGCGATCATGCGTTTTATGCAATTCGTCCACCGAACGATTGCCTGCTAATGATTTTCGCTGCTTTGTACTTTGTGCAAAAATAGTTGAAACGTTGAAAAATAGTTAAAAATTCCACGCACCGACATATGAAATCTTACGCACTGGCACCACCGCAAAACTATAGCTTCTTGGCTTTTGTAGTTCCTGAGATGATAATTTCCCCGCCAAAATTTTACGGGGTCGTTCGTGTTACCCGCGGGCAAGAGAAGGCTGCATTTAAATTTTCTGGTTCCCATTTGAGCAGGGGACATGTCCACAAAATTTCAGCCTTCTAGCTCCCATGGTTCCTGAGATAATAATTTTACCCGCCAAAACTTTTACGAGGCCATACATGTTAGTCGTGGGTAGTGGAAGGCTGAATTTAAAATTTCTGGGTGGCACGTAGGCAGTGGACAGGCACGCAAAAATTTAAGCCTTCTAGCTTCCGTTGTTCCCGTGATAATAATTTTACCTACCCAAACTCTTACGGGGCCGTACATCTTATCTGCGGGTACGAGGTGACTGAATTTAGATTTGCGGGCTCGTACGTGGGTGGTGAACGTTACCGTAAATTTTCAGTTTCCTGGTTGTTGTGGTTCCCGAGATGAAAGCTGTGAGCAAGTTGCTGCGGACACGCACATACGCACATACACACACAAATATATACACGCAAACACACACACACACAGACGATCCCGTGACAATATGCGTTTTGTACTGCTGTTACACAGCACAAAACGCGTAATAAAAAACGGGGACTTTACAGGTTTTTGGATCAGATCGTTGAATCAGATCGTCTTTAGGAAGATTGCGGCAATCGGCGAAATTTCTCCTACAACAATATGGTGGTGCGTTTTTGTCTTGCTCATTTTTATATAATAAAATTTTTTCTTTGCCGGAATAACATCAATTTTTGAGTGAAACAATTAAAGTACTATGTGCTGTTGTACTGCTTCGTCCGGGAATGTTTCCAGGAGAACATTCTGAAATCAGTTTGGACCGAACATAGCAGCGTAGCCCAGCAAAAAAAAAAAAGATGCGTGCATGCGCTATGAATTTTGCATTTCACTACGTCTGAATATATTTACCGCATTGCAAAATCCAATATTTCTGCTATTGCTGATCAGATTGCAGCATCTAGTTTGACCCTGGAAGTGCAAGTGGCAAAGGTGTGAAGGAGTTCAGCAGAAAAGAAACAGTATAGATTAGAGGAGGTAAGAGCGAGATAAGACGTTTCGGTGCATCAAGTCATATACGTCTTAACTCAACACTGCGTCTGAACCTGGCATACTACGTATCGGTTAGTGATACTAACACAAAAATGAATAACTACTCGGACAGTTCCCGAAAAGACGGACAGTTTATGTCTAGAAGAACTCTGGTATAGCCTTCATGCATTCCAACAGGTACCTGGAACATCGGATCCTCCGCGCTGATTATCTGAGGACTCTTAGTAGCCCCATTTTCCTCTGGTATACCAGGGTTCTTATATTTTTATGCTAGCCATTTCTATGCGCCAGCAGGCCTGACGCTTTGGATTAGCACTGTTGTCGTGCAAGAGCTTCAAGGTTTGACTCTGCCGGTGCGACAACCAATCCCTCTACGATTAGTTTCGATGGTAAATTGGTATCAGCGTTTCCCATGCCATCAAATCTGCCATCAGCTTGTTTATCAGCAGCTCTCAGAAGAGGGGGCCATCGAAAGCCTTGCCAGCAGGTGATTGCTGTTGGAGTTTGCTGCCACTTGGTCTACTTCCAGAATGCTTCCGCCTGTCATTGGGAGCGAAAAATAGGGAGGGAGGGGGTTGACTTAACATTTTTGTGCGTTTATAAGTCCTGTCTGCGTGTGTGTGTGTGTGCATGTGTGTGTACCTCAGATTTTAAACTGGCTTCCATGCCCTAAACTCTATTTATGCAAATTAAGCTTGTTCGGAGACAGCGACAGAAGAAAAACATGCTTGGGCCTGTCCCCTGTTGCTGTTTGCACTGTATTTTTACGGGAAGGCTTGAGGAGGGGGGAGGGGAGGGAGGAGTGGGGAAGGGGCGGGGGAGGGCATGCTTAAACATATTGTGTAGCAGTGCTGTAAGTTTTAGCTGCCTCTTTCGTTGTTGCGCACCGCACAGAATCATCCGATGTTGGTTGAGCTGAAGAATGGCGAAACGTACAACGGGCATTTGGTTTCCTGTGATGCTTGGATGAATATTCATCTCCGAGACGCCATCTGCACATCACGTGTAAGAAGTATCTGTCATGTATTAAGCCAGAGTAGCTGCTTTCCACAACAAGCACTTGATTTCGGCTTGACCAGGATGCGCAGTTTTGTTGCTACAATAGTTCTCATTTTTATGCGTTTTGTGCTGTGTAACAGTGTTACAAAACGCATATTGTCACGGGTTGTCTGTGTGTGTGTGTGTGTTTGTGTGTGTGTGTGTGTTTGTATCTCACATTTTGTCCCGCACTTTCAACTCGGAAACCACAAAAGCTATGCGGCCGAAATTTTGGTAAAGTGTTCCCCGCCAACAGATGACGCGGCAAATTTAAATTCAGCCTTCCCGTACTCGCGGGTAACACGTACGGCCCCGTGAAAGTTTTTAACGGGTAAATTAATATCTCGGGAACCACGGGGTCTAGGGAGCTGAAATTTTATGGTAATAACTCCCTGTCCACGCTCAACTTTGCTTATTCAAATTCAGCGTTCCCACGCTCCCGGGTATCACCTACGAGCTAGTGAAAGTTTTTACGGGTAAATTATTATCTCGGGAATCACGGAAAGATATTCATCCTTCGGGGTTTCGAATTCAGCTTTCATGCCCTGGTGCGTGAAATTTTTAACTATTATTTTTGCATAGACCAAAGTACAAAGCAGTGAAAATCATTAATAGGCAATCGTTTGATGGGCTGAATTGCACAAAACGCATGATCGCACCGGCTAATCTGGTACGCGTTGCTATTTATCGAAATTGATTCCATTCCGCCGTAATTCTACTTTCTTGTCCCATCAACTCAAGCTCGGAGGGGTTTTTTCCGGTTTTGCCACTAAATTTAGTTGGCCTCTCATTTGCTTTTTTGTACTGTACTGCGGTTTTATTCACAAAAAAAGAGTCGAAACTCATCACCTCCTTTTTTTTTTGTCGCGCATTCTTTGATAGGAACACAAGAGAAGGCACGCAAATGTATCTGGAATGATGGATCATGCACCAAGAGCAATCCAGAACTGGCAAAGCCGGCTTTTCTGAGAATTACTTAGCATCAAGCCATTGACGGAGCTGACTTTACAGCGTGCACCAGTACCATTTTACCATCGAAATGAATGAGCGAATCGCAGAGGAATTGGTTTTTCCAGCGGCGAAATCAAACTTTCGCTTTAGCATGAAAGCATTGCTGCCTTCTAATGCACTGTGCACTGTTTTCCTTAGAAAAGGTGTTGGTGGACGAAGATAATACTAACCTAGACCCAGTAAATCCTAGCTCATGGCTTCTTAAGGGTCACGGAAAGCTGGTTTTTAATTTACTTTAATTGAATTTTGCCCTCATAAAAACCATTTTTAGCATTTTTCCCCTCCATACAAGTCGATTGGTGGTTCTTGTTGCAGGGGGAAAACCTTTTTTCTTAGAACACAAGCAATTCCCTTCGTATGTTCCTTTTTTTAGGGGTCAGAAAAAGTAATTTAAGTTGTGCTTCCTCGACTTATCCGTTTTTGAAACTGTGCACCGTAAAAGCACGTTGAAGGAGATGACACCGAAATTTTTTTCCAGGATGGTGATCGCTTCCAAAAAATGCAGGAAGTTTATGTCAGAGGTTCAACGATCAAATATTTGCGGATTCCGGACGATGTTGTTGAGCTAGTGAAGGAGGAGGTTATTTTTCCTTTTTTCCTAGTATTTGATTAATAAGTACAAGTAGATGGCGTTTTAAAAAATGTACACAAAATTTTCCCAAAGAATTCTTCAACCCTCTACTACTTGCTCCGTAACATTTCCCTTTCATTCTTACAATCTTAACTTTAAATTTAAATAACTTCAAATTGCTTTTGACATTCTTTTCTTTAAAGCTTTTCATCCTACACGTGTTTTTGTTTTTGCCGGTAACTTTGATGGAGAAATTGAATAATTTGGGTATTTCAGGTGAAAGAAGTGCGCAGGCAGCAGAAGGATCAGCAGCGTGCCAAGCGTAGCATGCAGGGAGGTCGAGGTGGAGGACAGGCTCGTGGTGGGATGGTACGCGGAGGGGGGCGAGGAGCGCAGCAGGGAAGGGGTCGTGCAAAAGGCCCTGCACAGTAAACTTATTTTTTTGTTCTGCTCTGCAAGCTGCTGTGGTATGTTTCCTTGCGTGAATATCCACCACTTTTATTAATGATCTGCATACGTCAAGGGAAAGAACTAATTTTTTTGAAAATTCAAAAATTTTTTGTTTATTTTGAAACGGCCTGTTATTTTGTACATACTTTTTTATTGTTTCAATTTTGAATAAATTTTTTGTTCGCAATTTGCTCTGTGCTCAGCTTTCGTGGATGATTTCCACTGCGAAT